CGGTTTTCAGTTTGTTTGGCAAATTTCCCTCCATCGCTTTATTTTGAGCCTATGTGTGTCTCTGCATGTGAGATGGGTCTCTTGAAGACAGCATACACATGAGTCTTTGTTCTTTATCCAGCTTGCCATTCTGTGTCTTTTAATTGTGGCATTTAGCCCATTTACATTTGAGAGTAGTATTGTTATATATGGATTTGATCCTGCAATCATGATGCTAGCTCATTATTTTTCAGACTTGTTTATATGGTTGCTTCATAATGTCACTGGCCTGTATACTTCAGTGTTTTTTTGTAGTGGCTGGTAATGGTCTTTCCTTTCCATTTTTAGTGCTTCCTTCAGGATCTCTTGTAAAGCAGGTCTGGTGGTAATGAATTCTCTCAGCATTTGCTTGTATGAAAAGGATCTTATTTCTTCTTCATGTATGAAACTTAGTTTGGCCAGATATGAAATTTTGGGTTGAAAATTATTTTTTATGAATGCTGAATATAGGCTCCCAATCTCTTCTGGATTGTAGGATTTCTGTTGAGAGTTCCACTGTTAGTCTGATGGCCTTCCACTTTGTAGGCTACCTGGCCTTTTTCTCTGGCTGCCCTTACCATTTTTTTCTTTCATTTGACCTTGGAGAGTCTGATGATTATGTGTCTTGGGGATGATCTTCTCATGGACTATCTTACTGGGGGCCTCCATATTTCCTGAAATTGAATGTTGGCTTGTATTGCTAGGTTGGTGAAGTTCTCCTGGATGATATCCTGAAGTATGTTTTCCAAGTTGGTTCCATTCTTGTCTCGTTCAGGTACCCCAATCAGTCATAGATTCAGTCTGTTTACATAATCCCATATTTCTCAGATGTTTTGTTCATTTCTTTTCACTGTTTTCTGTTTTTATTGGCCTGTCTTATTTCAGAAAGGCAATCTTCAAGCTCTGAGATTCTTGCCTCCATTTGGTCTATTCTGCTATTAAAGCTTGTGATTGCATTGTGAAGTTCTTGTAGTATGTTTTTCAGCTCTATCAGGTAGGTTATGTTACTCTCTATACTGGCTATTTTGGATATCAGCTCCTGCATTGTTTTATCATGATTCTTAGCTTCTTTCCATTGGGTTACAACATGCTTCTTTAGCTCAATGAACTTCATTTTTATCCACATTCTGAAGACTACTTCCGTCATTTCAGCGATCTCAGCCTCAGCCCAGATCTGAACCATTGCTGGGCAGGTGTTGCAATTATTTGGAGGAAAGGGAGCATTCCGGTTTCTTTGTTTTTTCTTTTCTTTTCTTTCTTTTTTTTTTGTGCTAATTCTTTCTCATCTTTTTGGGCTTATCTGCCTCTGATCTTTGAGTTTGCTGACCTTTGGATTTTTTTGTGTGTTTTGTTGTTGCTGTTGTGTTTTATTTGTTTTTCTTTGAACAGTCTGGGCACTCTTCTGTAGGGCTGCTGTGGTTTGCTGTAGGTCTGCCCCAGACCCTAGTCACGTTGGTTTTTCCAGTACCTGGAGGTATCATCAGTGAAGGTTGTGAAACAGCAAATATGGCCACCTGCCCATTCCTCTGAAAGCTCTGTCCCAGGGGTTACTGACCTGTTGCTGGCCTGAATGTGCCTGTAGGAGGTGGATGGAGTTTCCAGTTGTAAGATCTCACCCAGTCAAGAGGAATGGAATCAGAGACCTGCTTAAAGATGCAGTCTGGCTGCATTTTGGTAGAGTAGCTGTGCTGTGTTGGGAATCCCTTCAGCCCCCAGCTGATTTGGGCTCTTCAAGGCCCACAGCCTGAACCTGCTAGGGTGCCCAAACAGTAAATGTCTGCCCCACCTACTGGGCACTCTGTCCCACGAAGAAATTAGAACTCTGTTGGCCATAGAACATGGGTGGGGCTGGCCAGAGGCCCTGGCTGGGAGGACCCACCCAGTGAGGAGGAATGGATCCGGGTCTGTTTAAAGAAGCAGTCTGGTCATGCCTCAACAAAACAGCTGTGCTGGGGAACTGTGCTGTAGAACTGCCTCTGCTCTGTTCAGTTTGGACTTTCCAGTGCCTGCAGGCTGGAAGCGCTGAGTTATCTAAACAACCAAGGTGATGACCCACCCCTCCTATGGGGCACTCTGTCCCAGGGAGACATCAGAGTTCTGTCCATAGAATACAGCTGGGTGGGGGTGGCTGGAGGCCCTAGCTGCGAGGTCCTGCCCAGTGAAGAGGAATAGATCAGGGTTATGGCTATTGTTTTGGCTGGCTTCATAGTATTTCATTGAGTTATCCTATTTGCCATTTCTTATTACTGAACATATTTTTCACCCTCTTAATATCCTCTTACTCCTAACACCCTCTTACTCCTACTCTTGTACACAGATTTTGGGTTACTATCAATAACACCATAAATGTTTTCTCCCTGTCTCATCCCTTATATCTCCATCAAAAGCAAATGCTGTCCTGAATGTTTATAATTATTATTCACTTATAAAGCTTAAAATTTTGTATCACGTATTATGTCTAAGGCATATGGTGTTTGATTTTACTTGCTTTAAAATTTCATTAGAAAATATGCCATATGCTTTTATTTGGTATTTACTTTTTAATTCAACATAATGTTATTAAGATTCATTCATGCTGTTGTATATGGTTGTCATTCACTTATTTTTCATTGCTCTCTAATATTATATTTTATTAGTACACTACAATTTATTTATCTGTCCTCCTGACTATGGCCATTTAGAATACTTAAAGTTTTTGCTATATGAACAGTGTTTCCTCCAAACATTTGTATGCATATCTCATGCATACATGTACTAATTCTGGAGGGATTTTTATATCTAGGAATAGAATTGTTGGACTGTAGGTATGCACATGTTCAGCTTTAAAATGCAATGCCAAAGGACGGTGGAAAGTGATGGTACTATCAGTAACATATAAGAAATTATGACAATAGGATGTTGGATAAATCCTATTTAATAGTTGACAATATCAGATTTCTTAATTTTTATAAATTGATTACATGTAAAATGATTTTCTAATTCTAGTCTTCGTTTATGTTTCCTGATTGTCAGAGAGACAGAGATTTTCTTTTCTTTCTTTCTTTCTTTCTTTCTTTCTTTCTTTCTTTCTTTCTTTCTTTCTTGAGACGGAGTCTCGCTCTGTCACACAGGCTGTAGTGCAGTGGCATGATCTCTGCTCACTGCAAGCTCCACCTCCTGGGTTCGCGGCATTCTCCTGCCTCAGTATCCCGAGTAGCTGGGACTACAGGCACCTGCCACTATGCCCAGCTAATTTTTTGTATTTTTAGTAGAGACGGGGTTTCACCATGTTAGCCGGGATAGTCTTGATCTCCTGACTTTGTGATCCACCCACCTTGACCTCTCAAAGTGCTGGGATTACAGGCGTGAGCCACCGGGCCTGACCAAGACTGATCATTTCTTTAGATGTTTCTATCTACATGTGTTGCATGTTTTGTGGTGTGACTTTTGTTCATTTTGTCATATTTGTTATTAATTTGTAGGCATTCTTTGTAATTTCTTGATATAAAATTTTGATCCTTAGTCAATTATATATTCCTGATTCATTTTCAATTATATGCGTGGCGAATATCTTCCCCAGATTACAGCTTGCTTTTTGTTTTACTTTTTTAAAGATGTTTTTTGATTAACCCAAGTTTCTTAATTTTACTCTAATTTTTATGTATTTTTTATGGTTATGTCTCTTTGTTAAGCCCTTCCCTACTCCAAAGCAGGAAGAAATTCACATTTATTTTATCACATGTTTTAATGTTTTGCTTTTGACATAAAGATCTTAAACTATATAGAGTTATTTTTGTGTAATGTGCATGGCAGGGGTACATATTTTTTTTTTTCTTATCAATAATCACTATTACTAGGTCCTTTTGCTGAACAGTCTCCTCTTTTCACAGTAATCTGCCATACCATCTTTGATAGACACTTAAGCTTAATTTATTTTTAGATCTCTTTCTATGGTCCCCCTTCTGAATACTGTCTTTTCAATTCTTGTATTTGGGTACTGGGTTCACAGGTGTCTATTACATTATTAACATATTTATTAAAAGAAAAATGTTAAATTACAGAGGGTCATGCATCGACCAATGACGAATGTGTCTCATGAATTAAATATTATGATTAATTCAAATCTGTGAGCCTGAGGGCCATTAAAAAGATAAAATAAATAAATAATGCTACAAAGAACAGTCTTATTCATGTTCTTTTTCTCCCTTTCTTGCCTAAGGACAAGATCCCAGGAATGAGGGAGCAAGTGTATACAAAATACTTTTAAAGGTTTTAACTGTGAAACTTAAATGCTTTCCAAAGGGACATACACATTACCCTTTGCGGCAAAGGGTCTAGCATTTAAATTCAGAGTTCTGGCCCTGGGGCATCCATTGTCCTGTCTTCTTTTGCTCCAGTCTCCTTCCTTACCACTTCCCCATCACACTGATCCTTGTCTAATCCCACTAAGAGGCAATATATTTCTTCTTTGGACCCTGTCTGTACCTGCTAAAGCAGCACCCACAGACTCTACTGCTAGTTGGCCAGATTAAAAGTAACAATGAAACAATTTCTGGCCTCACGTTGGTCTCCCTCTTTTCATTTTTATTACTGATGCACATTTTCTAGCTAGTTTGCTCTTTCCCCAGATATACTCACAGCTTGCTCTTAGGGTTGACTGGTTATAGCATTGCTCAGATGTCACCTTCCTCAGCAAGACCTTTCGAGACCACCCATTTAAAATGGCAACCCCTCACTCTCGATTCCCACTGTTTCCCTCCTGTGCTTTTTATTTCCATATAACTTATCACCACTTGTCTGTTTCCCCTTCATCAGAATTTGGAGCTTAGATCTCTTTTGTCCATGGGTGTATTCTCAGCATTTACAATACTTTAAACGTGACAGATGCTTTGTGAACGTTTGCGAATATTATTACAAACAAAGCACATAGATGTTGTTCAATATGTGTGTCGGATGAATGACTGAAGTCCAGAGGACTCAAGGAACCCACGATTATACTTAACATTTTTTGGCATCTGTCCCACTGGAGGTCCAGGGGTAGTTGAAGTCTCGGGTAGTCACACTGGAACTGCTGGCTGAAAGACAAAATTATTTTCAGAATCTAGCTTTTTTAGAAAGCTGTAATTTAACTTTGCTTTGATGCACAGAATTTTTAATCTATGTGACTTTGGGGAAATCTGAAATTGAAAATGTGCTTCCCTATGCAGGAATACTAGCTGGCATATTAAGCAAAAGCTCTGTAGGTTAATGCCAGCTTGTCACTGATTTGTATTCTTTTTCTGTTCTTGTCACAAACTCAGATCACTGAGAGTATTGTGAAGACTACTTTAATATTACCTTAAAATCCCTTGACAAATAAAAGGTACAATATAATAACAAATCATCACCCCTTATTTTTTAAGATTATAGAAATTGTCATATCAATATGTAGTCACCATAGAGTAACTCAAAACCAAGATATTAACAAACATCAAATGAAAAATACAGCTGTTTACTGAAACGTCAACATTATAGAAGCAGTAGTAACACTTGTGAGTGTGTTGTCTCTTTCCACTCATGGAGGAAAACCTTGCTGAACTCACGTTGAGGAGTAGTGTTTGGCCTCAAGGCACTCACATCTGCAAGGGTCACCGAAGACGTAGCTGGATATCCTATTTTGAAAATAAAATTCCCAAATTATTATATGTATTTACATTCATATGTTTAACTATGCCACTACATTTAAAAAGAACCTGGAATATTAGAGTTGGAAAGAATCTTAGCGAATAGCCTCATTTTATAAATGATGAAACTGAATCCAAAAGGAATAATATCCAATATCATTTCTTTGCTATTAACCCAGTTCTCCTAATTCTAAATGTATTATATTCATACTTTCAAAATATATTATATCGGTGTCTACCGTATGCCACTCTATTCCGCATGCTGGGGATATAGCAATAAACAATGAAGATAGGGTCCCTGCTCTCATGAAACTTACCTTATAGTGAATTTTCACAAATACAACTGTGAAAATATATCTTCACATACTAAATATGGTTTCATATTTACTTCAGTTGTTAGTTTGCAAAGTCATTTCTCCATCTTTATACTCCATAATTGTACATTCTCTTCCTTCCTCCTCACTCCTCCAAAATGAAAGACTGATTCATATTCATTTGAAAATACCTCTATATTTTAGAGCTATTATATATAGCAAGGTAGATTAAAGAAGAAGAAAAATATCCAACCACAGTCCGTTGAAATCATGTTTATATCTCTTGGAAAGAAAAATTTTGAGTACATTTTGTTTGTATTTCTCCTTTGTTCCAAAATGTATTTAAGGTGGTTTGTATCAATGTGCAATACAAGAATATAAAAGCAGAAAGGCAAAATAGGAACAAGGAAAATATAGTAGAAAAATTATGTTGAGTCCTGTTGAAACCTAAACAGGGATAGTGGACAAAGTGCATTTCCTGATGTCCTATGCTGTTAGTAGATGTGGGCCCCACCTTTGGTCTGACATTTCTGGTAGCAAATGCTAAGAAATAAACAGTAGAGGTTACATGATTGATGAATATAATAAGATAGAAACAGTATTATTATGAATAGCGAGAGAAAAAGTTATTCTTTTTGTTGTGATTAAAAAGAAACTTTTCCCCAGATCGTCATAAAAAGAATGCTGTATAATGTGTAAAGTATCCTATAAAATATCCTTACAGTATCATAGCCAGTATGTTCACTCATCCTCAAACTTTAGTTAGTGGTGAAGGGCAGCCAACTTTCCTGGTACCTCAAATATGTGAAAGGGCATGTCTTAAATAGAGAACATGGGCAATCAAATCAAATGAATAAGTTGGCATTGTGGTTTTTGCATTTATAAGTAGTTCACATTCAGAGGTCAGCAATGATAACTTTTTTTTTTTTTGCAAAGCAGCGTATCAATGAACTATAAAAAGATACTTACCCACCGTGACTCCATGATTAAAAGAGTCATACATACAAAATACTTAGAAGAGTGCGTGGCATTCAGTAAATGCTAAAAAGTATGTCTTAGAAACTGTAAAACAGGTCACTTGCAGTTTATCAGATGTTGTTAATACCAGCATATTCTAACTATAGGCCACTTGAATCTCCTGAGGAGTTCCACAATTGTCCCATTTTCCTTGGTCTTTTTGGAATAAAGTTGATCTAAGGTAACTCATTCCTTCTTCCTCAGCCTGGCTCAAGTCAAGAACTACATTCCAAAGTGTTGTACTAGAAAAGGGCTAATAGAAATAAAGTGTGTGATAGTAGGCTGGGGCATTAGCTTTGTGGTAGGGTAGTAACTTCTCACTGGCAGAATCATCTACAATTCTTTTCCTCTGCTATCCCACTGAGCCATCGGTACCAGATTCTTGTGCGGTAATTTTAACTTCTAGCTCACTGTCTCCCACCATTCATCAAAGGCTGTATTAATAGAAAAAAATGCACAAGATTGACTACGTAAAGCATATATTGATACTTTTGTAGATTGCTTTGAACTGAGTATTGAAACCACATTCCTAGTCACTGTGGAATTCCTCTTACATAATACTGAGGATTTTCCCATTGGCTGACACTAGATGACAGTCTAATACGATGCGGGGAGGGGTGGGGTTGCCATTGTTCACTTACAGTGAGAAAGTTCCTGGGACTGTGCTCCACCACGCCCTCTAGAGGAGGGTCTCCAGGCTGTCTCTGCATTAAGAGCAGCTGTGCTTCTGGACAACTGCCTTGTTATACCATTTTACAAATCTATGGATCACCAAGTGATTTATAATTTTATTTCTCTCATTGAGAAGACTTTGCTTTTTTCTCTCTGCAGCAATTCCTTCAGTTACCTCTTTTCAAAATTGTATTGTTATGTATTTTTAAAGTTACTTCATATTCCTTTTGGGACAAGACAAGGTAAAAATATAGAGAAGAAAATAAATAAATTAGGTATAAGTAATTTGAACACTGTGAGATACTAAGAGATATGACAGGCTCTTCCTAATGAATAAAGATAGTTCTTTCCTCCTTCCTCCCCTCCCTTCTCTCTCTCATGCTGAAATTAACCTCCAAAAGTATTTGCTGAGAGGCTTGGTAAGTAAATTCAAAGGAATTGTTTTTAACAGTGGTGCTATGATAACAATAGTCATAATGAGGATGATGAAAAAGATCTAGGAAATAAACATCAAAGAACTTAATATTTATTTGTAAACTACATGACCACTACCTAGAAATCTCAGTCTAAGAAGAAACTGCCAGCCGCCTTTAAAAATATATCTTACCTGCAAGCAACAGACATTTTCCTATGCCAGCCTGGTTGCCCACACTGGGGGCTGGCACTGACCAGGACATGTGATTTAATTCTGGCAGGAATCTCAGGAATCCTGATGAAGTACAACTTGATTGGGAATTTCATTTATATGAAAATGACTGGTTAAATGTTCTCTTCTGGAGGTCAGAAAATAATGTGACATAAGTCATTTCTCAAGGTTTACTGCAGGAGAAGGAGAACTCATTCATTTGATTCTACCTATTATGTTATTTAGGTACCTTGTTGAGGGAGAAACGTGCTGAGGAATGCATGCTGCCTTAATCCTTGTGTGACTATGTCTCTGCTCCAACTTAGACATCTATGTTGCTTTACCCTTCTGACACACAAGACTGTGGAGTACATTGAGGGCTGAATACATGCCAAGGGTGGGGAACAAAAGGATCAATGATACCTAGTCTCTTAGTCTCTTTCCCCAGGGAGCACAAAGTTATTTCGCTCGTATTGGTCTCCAGCTGAATATTCTTTAGACTTCCACTTGAGGGTCCGAACCAACTTGCACAGGTTATTGAGAGAATGATTCCTTTACTATGAGACTTCACTCATTATGTAGAATTCAGAGTTAAAGTTATTTAGAGAACTATGTAATTCCTAGATAAATTAAATCTACCCCTCTCTCTTCCACTTTACACTATGGTTCAAGGTTAAGGCCCCTTCATACTCCATGACCTGATCTCTAACAATCTTCACATAGTCCTCTCTTGCTACTCCCTGCATACATTCTTTCATTTGTTCAACCAATATCTGGAAGTCTCTATATTTCAGGCATTGTGCTTGGTACTGGGAATACTGCTTTCCTGGAGTTTAAGTTCACGGAGGAGATGGACATCAAGCAGAGGATCACGTAAGCCAATTCAAACACTAGAACATATTAAAGGGGGGATGGCTCACCCAGAGTCCCAGGAAAGCTTTCCCAAGGAATGTAGTGGGAGATTGTGGCCAGTGGAGGGAGGGTGGGAGCTTTCAGGCAGAGGGCATAGCCAGTGCAAAGGCCCAGTGTGTGGTCTCACATATCACGGACTAGTAATAGCCATTTCTGGCACCTGTCCATTCCAGGACTGGGCTTTTACAAACCCTCAGGGTGTTTTTTCCATGTGCTGAGTTGCACTGGATGTGAGAGCTAGGTGGGATGTTACCTGCCAAGGTGCATATCCAAGACATAAGCAGCAGCAGGAGAACAGTGATCAAACTGTGGCACAGGGTGCAGCAACACTGCTTATTTTTTAGGAGTTTTGTTTTGTTTTAAAAAGTCCCTTCTTAAAACCTGACCTGGAGATTCTGTAACTATATAAGAACATGTCTGACTGTCTCTTGATATCATGTAGAGAATTAAAAATATTTTATTTGCATTCCTCGTAGCCATGTTTTTGAAAGATTCATATTGATCATGTATTTTCAGATGTGAGAAAGCTTGCTTTGTACCTTTCATTTTAAGGCTAAGTTTGTATTTCACAACATAGCAAAATCTCTTCGATATTCAATAGTGTGTTCTAAATCATGAGATACTATATAGGCAAGTAAGATGCCAAACTCTGTGATAGGGAGTTGATGGCTTTGTTTGCTGATTGTTTATTCCTTCTTCAATGTGAATGTTTAGTATTATTAAATGTTGCAAGTATCCAGAGTTATACTATAATGACCCATGTCTCCAGGAAATAAGATGAAATTTAGAGGTAAACACTACTTCACACAAAATGTTTTGTTTATACTAGTTCAGAAATGGCCATGAGGTTGCATGAGGAGGTTTGAAGCCTTCCTGGCCCATTTCTATTTTAACTCTTTAAAAATTTTCTCACTAAAATAAAATAACGCCCCCCTTTTACGCTATCACTGGAAATTCAATTAAGTTAGAAGACAGCTCCAGTCAGTGCTGAATTGAGTGGGCAGACAGAAACATGTTCTAAAAGAGCTAATTTTGGTCATCTCCATATGACATCGTCAAGCAGAACTGAATCTCTTAATCTATACTCTTGCCAGTCTTCCTGGTGACCTAATTGCTAGAGAAAGGAAAGGTAGAGGAAGGCTAGAAGATCTATGTTTGGCTAACTTTTGGGAAATGCTGAAATATTTTCCAAACAACATAGATTTTAAAGATAATTTAATATGGACCTACTATATGACAAATAAAAGAAGCAAGTGAGCAGTTGCAAAGTAGCATAAGGGGAGCATAAAGGATATACTGGTAACTTAAAAAAAGAGAGAAATAAATTTGGTCATTGTTTCCTTCTTCAAGGAATTAAAAATTACAAATAAAGGTCTTGATTTATTTTGAGATGGTTTTTGCTTACTAGACTCATGACATTTCTTCTCAGACTGGACAGTATGAGTCGT